CCCTATGAAGCGGTATATAAGTCTAATAAATAAATAAACAAACAAATAAATAAATAAACAAACAGGTTAGGGTCTGGAGAAAATGGCGGGGGAGGAGAAACATGCCTGTCACACTTTGGTTTCTCTTTGCCAGAACATTACGGGGAACTTTGCGAATGTGATCCACGGGTTGAATCCAAGCCACCTGACCGACCGAGTCGTTCACAGGAGCAAACGGATGATTTTGGATACTTTGGGAGTCGGGCTGGTGGGCACCAGAACTGACGTCTTCCAGAAGCTCATCCAGTACAGCAAGGTAAGAGGATCTGTTGCCTTAATTCTTCTCTGAAATCAGATTAACAAGAGTTGGAAGGGACCTTGTAGGTCATCTAGTCCAACCCCCCCCCCCCAAAGCAGGAGACCCTATATTATTTCTGACAAATGGCAACCCAGTCTCTTCTTGAAAAGCCTCCTCTGATGAAGCTGCCACAATTTCTGAAGGCAACTTCTGTTCCATCAGTTGATTGCTCTCACGGTCAGAACATTTCTCCTGATTGAATCTCTCCTTGTTCAGTTTTTCCATCCATTATTCCTTATCTGGCCTTCGGGTGCCTTGGAAAATAGTTTGACACCCCCCCCCGTCTCTGTGGCAGCCTCTCAGATATTGGAAGACTGCTATCATGTCTCCCCTGGTCTTTCTCTTCACTTGACTAGCCATGCCCAGTTCCTGTAACCGTTCATCATGTGTTTTAGCCTCCAGTTCCCTAATCATTCGGGTTGCTCTCCTCTGCACTTTTAACTAGAGGCTCAACACATTTTTATAGTGTGGTGACCAAAACTGGATGCAGTATTCTAGGTATGGTCTTACTAAGACTTTATAGAGAGGTAATAGCACCTCACTTGATCTTCATTGATACCTTTTGGCCTAGGCAGTTATTTGGATGATCTTTTAAGGCAGGAGTGGGAAATTATGACCCTTTGAGGACCTGTGGACTTCAACTCCCAGAATTCTTAAGCCAGCATGGCTGGCTTAAGAATTCTGGGAGTTGCAGTCCACAGGTCCTCAAAGGGCCGTAGTTCCACTCCCGTTTTAAGATAACAGCCATGTATTTTTTGCCACAGATTATCTTTATTGCTATTTCTTTCCCCAATGGAGATTAGCACAAAGTGGCCTTTTCTTTCCTCCGTTTACCTAAAGGGATATATCAATTCTCCACCTCAGGATTCTTCTTCCTGGTTGGGCTGGCATGGGATAGATGAGGTAATGCGCCAGCCCCTTCCTCCAGCTAGAGGGAGCCTTTTCTTCCCCAAGGACTCCATTCCAAATAGCCTGATTTCCTCCTCCCCCCCGCCCCCAATGATAGCAAACATGGAGTCCATTATCAAACTGCTGCCTTTGGTCAGCATCCAACTCGTCCATGATGGAGATCTGTGCAGGTAAGTTCTGTGTAAGAGGGAGTAGGTCCCCTTGCAGTTGTCCTCTTTGTAGGAGATAACCAAGCTAAGCTGGAGAGCGGGGTCAAATGCACCATCAGTTTGGAGTCACTACGCTGCCGTAAGAGACCAAAGTCCAGCTTCCCTTGAAGTCCGTTGACTCTTATTGGTGCTAATCCACCTTGACCATTCGTAGTTCAGATTCCTGTGTATAGATGGCATGGAATAAACTTGAAGTGCTTTTGAACTTTATCCTGGTTTACTTTATTCTGGTCTTGGACTTGATGGATACACTGTTGTGCAACACCATCCCATACAAATTGTGCAACAATTTGCCTTGATCATTAGTAGATCATTAGTAGATCAGATTCTTGTGTATAGGGTTGCTTGGAATAAATTTGAAGTACTTTTGAACTTTATCCTGGTTAACTTTATTCTGGTCTTGGACTTGATGGATACACTGTTGTGCAACAACACCCCATACAAATTGTGCAACCATTTGCCTTGATCATTAGTAGATCAGATTCTTGTTTATAGGGTTGCTTGGAATAAATTTGAAGTACTTTTGAACTTTATCCTGGTTAACTTTATTCTGGTCTTGGACTTGATGGATACA